CCAGGTCTTCCACATGCAGCGTCGGGTTAATGCCCCCCGAACCTCTCGGTCCAACATGGACTTGGTGGGCAGTACGGGCTACTGGGGCACTGACCAACCAGAGGCTGGAGGACTGGTTGGGCCATGTGATGCCAGTGTCATGCTCGAAGAGGTGAGAGCAGAGAGCAATGTTGAAATACAAGAGGCAAGGGAAGAAGCAGGACATGAGGAAGGGGCCACAGCAACGGCTTTTGACCCTGAAGAGATGGCCAGTCAGATGAAGAGCTCCGGGGACTCCTGCCACGAGATTACCAGGGCTCTAGAGGACATGCCCCTTGTTGTGTGAGGAGGTAATCCCACATCAGTAACCTCCAGCCTCAGACACTTCACTCAAGACAAAGAGCAACCAGTCAGTTCAGCTGATGTGCTGTAGGTTTACTTGGCATTTTTTTCCATTCACGTTCTTTCCAGTTTATTTCATGTCAGAGAATTTAGCTAAATCATCTGTAAAATGAAAACAAGAATTATATGTAGTCTGGAACTATCTGATCAATGAAACAAGTCTAAGTAAACAGGTTCACAAATTTCAGAATGCATTCAATGCTGTTTTTTGCTATTCAATGCTGAGGACATATTGGTCATTAATAACCAAAAGATAGTTAGGTTCAATAACCAGTCCCAGTAACTGGTATGCATTTTGATGTGTGATGCTACCAGTGAAATTAGGTCAAATAAACCATCATTTAGAAAAAAGTAAATAAAGAAACAGGAAAATATTTGAGTATTTTTTGCTAAGAACAGTGCTGCTCACTGTACTTCATGACCAAGTCTTTGGTCAAGCGCAGTGCATTGAGCAGATCTTCTAAACTGTTGTACACAAAAAGCAAATATTCTAAAAATAACCTGGTTTATGTTTTGCACGAGAATTAGTTAAGCATAACTTTTAAGCATCTAACATGTCATGATACATATTTTTATGCACTTGATATACTGTAAGCCTGCTTGATCTGTCTTATCTTGATTTACAACATAACTGAGTGAATCCAATAATTTAGGAAACAAACAGAAACAACTACACCAGCACACCTTTAAAGGATTCCAAAGATCTCAGGATCTCTTCTTAGATGTGACACCAGGACCCTGTGACCCTGAAGCCATTCTGAAATGACAGCTGCCTGCCAACAGTCCTTGTAAGACGTCTGTTGAAATTTGCTTCTGTCACTCGAGTGGTCTAGGACCTGTGCTGCAGACTTTCTAATACTACTGCTCCTTTATAACTCTTCTGTAAATGAGAACTATCCTGGTTCAAGGTTCTAAATAAATGGATTTTGCATGGTGTCCATGTCTTGTGCTTTAAATCAATATTCATAATTCACTTCTCCATCCCTGTGTTTATAATGGCTCTTTAGGATAACAATCTATAACTGTAAGAAGTGAAATACCAGATAGTAGCAGAAAAGGGCCACTGTATAATCTCAATTAAATGACTATGTATGGAAGCCATCAGGCCTACATTTAAATGGGTAGTGTACATGTTTCTGTATCTTTAAAGTTACTTTACTGGGGTACTAGATTTTATTTTTACAAATGTTAATTTGGCTCAATTCTTCACAGGTGAGAGTTCCGTTAAACATTTTGATGCAGCAAGACTTTGGTGTGAAACATGAACTACCATATTTAGCACATCACTAAGGCTGTCAGTTTCATTTGTCACACTTCCTGTAAATGAGGCAACAATCAGTCTTTCAGCAGCGAGGAGCCCTGAAAACCTTTTTGTTCCTGCTTTCATTCAAGAGACATCCACCCAGACGGCCAACGGCATAATATCCAACAGCCACTTCACTCTGAACACAACTACTAGGTTACAGAGGTTACCCATGTAAAATCACTGGTAAGTACATTTTAATCATCTGAATTATTAACGTAGTCTAATGTCCACATAATAGCTCAAGTGCTTTGGATTGATGCTGGAGCCAAAGACGAGGCAAAGTAGCCACACAAAAATGTATTTTTTATTTTATAACAAATCTGCATACAGAAAACTTGCGTATATATATGATGGACAGAAACAGACCCACCACCACAACTTTATAGCTACAATTACAACTTCATTGCCATAGAGCTATTTGTGATGAAACTGCTAAAAACGCTATTAAGATAGGTCTTATATTTTTTGATTGAACTGAAAACCTTTAGTTTAAGAGATTTTATTACTGTAAAATGTAACCAAAGACCAGTGGGGGGCGAATGTAAGCCAGATGAAGTTGGTGGTGCAGCATGTGCCCTTGAAACGCAATGCTATTTAGAGCTGCATTTTGAGGAAATGATACAACACCAAGTTACATTTCACAATGCTATACCATTTTTGCTCAAATTCCTTTCAAATACTAACTCATCAGATCCCACTGCTTAAGATTATATACTATGTATCTCTGATAAAATAACTTTCCTCTGTTCTAGCTATAAAAATACAGCAACCAGCCAGAAGACTGAAGAAAACAATGACTATCAGTTTCAAAAGTCTCATTTTCATGTGGATGCTGATGGTGACAGCAAGCTATGCAGACACATCTGGCCAGAACCACAGTTTCACTAATGTGACAACAGGTGAAGTAACAGAAAATACATCCACACAGGGCCAGGTGACAACACAGGAAGTGTCTACATTTCATCAACTTATGGAGCTCTCAGGTTCGACCATATCACCGCCCACCACAGCTGATGTAAATCCAACAGTGGAAAAGACTACGAAATCATATCCTAAACCTTCACTCCAAACAACTCAAATGACGCCTCCTAATATTCAGACAACAGCAAGTCCAACCAGCTCCATACTGCCTCAGTTAAACAGCTCAATAGAAAGCATGAAGCCTACAACAGAAGTACAAGTCAAGGAAGGAACACCTGCAACAACGGTTGTAACCAGTCAAACCAGCAACCCAGTCATGACTACAAGGGCACATCCTGTAATAAGCAGCCACACCCAAAGCCAAGACACAGGAAAGACATTAACTTTCCAATTCACCAGTGATAAAACGACCCATCCGGCTACACATCCAGATGAGTCTACACGCCTCATCTCTACTACACCCACCACTACCAAGCCTGCTGACAGCACATCTACATCAAGAACTAGACAAGTCACAGGTGGTGATGCTACACAATTCACAAGTTCATATAAAACTTCAGCGGCCATGACAACACCACCACTCACCAGCATCAACGAGACAAAGAAAACACAAGCTCCACCAGAGACAAATTCCAATAACGAAACAATCCACAGTAAAGTAGTGGCAGGGCTAATAGGTGGAGCCCTAGTACTGATGATGGTAGGGTTCCTAATCATCTTCATAAAGAAACGTAAGATTCAGAAGCAGCAGGCGGCTACTACAGAGTGGGCCGGTCCTTCGCCATTTCTAGAGGATGGAGCTGACGATAGGCAGGCAAAGCTGAGGTCATCTAACCGAATTTCTCTCTCCAGCTTCCTGCCTCAAAGGTTGTCCAAAAGAATGTCCTTGCTACCAGAAGCAGGTGAGGAGTTAGAAGACATGACAGCAGGCACATTTGGAGATGAACAACAAAGGAGTACATTCGGTCGAGAGGTGAATGGAAGCGACACGCAAGAAAGCAATGGGGCAGCTGTAATGGTTCCAGAAAGCAAAAGCACAGGAGGTGTGCAAGAGACTGTTGAAAACTCAGTCCCTGTAACCTCTTCACAAGTAAGCAATCCAGTCCACACAAACAACAATTCTGATGCTGCAAACCTCAATCAAGATTCTGCATATTCCTCTGGACTTGTGGAAAAAACTCCAGCACAACTGAGTGATGATCTAAGAGAACTTAATCCCACAACAACTGTGACACCAGAAATTGACTAACTTGTGGTCATTTGAGGAAATCATGACAAGGGAGAAGTGATATTAATCTAGGGCTGTTCTGCAAAACTTGAAACACAGTATAATATTAACACAGGAAATGACAAAGAAAGCAAAATGCTATGAAACATTTTTTAAAGTACATCATTAATAGTAGAAGGAAAAGAATTTCCTTACATTACTGGAGCCTTTACTGAAAGTACTATATTTGTCAGCAAGGCAACTCTGCCTTCTGGGATTCTGACACCCAGCCCCTGCTGGAATTTCTTTATCATCATTAGAAATGTCAACCAGACCTGAAGAGTGTAAAATGCTTTCTACCCTCATAATCCTGTGGAGAGCATTACTGTAGAAAACAGAAAAGGAAATGTGGTGGTGCAAACTAACGGTAATACCTTTTGCACATCACAGGGGCTGGCATACTGTTTCACATATGAGTCACAGCGGTAAATACTACAGGCTAAATACAAACATTTGTACTTTCTACATATCAGCTTAGATGTAATGAGAAAGTTTCCAAGTGTGAATAAATACGTGTGTTTCATCTGCCACAGAAGGATTCAGTATACTTGAACAAAAAGAAGGACATGGATCTGGTCAGACTGCACATCTTTTTTGTTTTACTGATGTACTCTCTACTTAGTTATGTTCAAGGGACAAAGAAAATTCTGTACTCTCTGTAATGAAGTTACAGGTCACTGTATTATAAACAGGTTTCCAAAGTTTAGCAAGAGCAAATTTCTCTGGTTACAGTTATTCATAGTATAGCAAAGTTTTGTTAGGCTTATGTAATACTTATAAAAATGGCATTACAGGCCATCTTTCCTCTAGTGTGCCAGTAAAACCATAACCATAAAACAGAACCCACTGGCTCCAGGCCTGTCTGAAATGCAGCCTGTCTTGCCCAGGCTTAGCATGTTTCAGATCTCAGTGGCACCAGGGTCTTTTTAAAAGAGACAGAAATAGACTACTCATGTGAAGCTTGTAAAACAGCAAAACACATTGAACTGAACTACACATAATGAAAACATATGAAACAGCAACACTAGATTTACTCTGGACTGTTATACTGTCCTTCACAAAGACTGAATTCGAGAGAGATTGGCCTTTTTAAGTAAATTAAAGAATTTCCACAATTACTACTTGCACAGTATAAACCTTGGTTTCACGCTGTTCAGTGTGGTTACGTGGTTTTCATAATATGCCATTTATAGAAGAATGCCGATGTCTATTTTATGTACTGGTCACCTCGTTTCTTTGCAGGTTGCTAGCAATGCTGGTCATGATGCCGTTATTAAAATTTTTATGTACATTTAAATGTATTTTAATGTGCTCCTGTTTACTGTTTTGAAGAGAATTCTAAATGTTGAGCAAAGTGAAACTGGTTTCTCCGAGTGGTTGTGGTTTTGGATTTCACATTTAAAACAAACCTGCTGCCACATATCAAATGATTCTATAGCTGCACAGTAACCGGTTGCCTCCAATGAGTTGAACTATTAAAAATATTGAAACCTGACAGACAAAAGACAAAGTGAATGATTTAAGATTTGTTCAGCTACTTAAGCTTAGGTAACAGTGGTGTTACTACTACTATATTCGGATTCACATATACTTAAAATACATCTCTACAGAGAGGTGGATAAGGTGGCCTCAGGTAATTATGATGATTATCTTTAGGATGTCACCGGCACTTGATACAGGGGCTCACCACTGAAGTTGATCACTTCAGTTGTTTCAACAGAAGCAAATCAGTGATCTCTGATTGTTACTCTTCTTTCACCTTTTTACTGTATTAAAGCATCCTGTCCAAGTGGCTTAAATAAAAAGACTACTGCATCATACTTTAAAGTTGCATTAATTGATTTTTGTTAATAACATGGCAACAACTGTCTATCCAGTAGAGACAGAGTAATATTTGCATTTATTTGAAATCAAATGTATGCACAATATTCATCATCATTATAGCTTTTGTCTGGTCTAGAGTATCTGACTCTTTAGCTGCTAAACATGCCATTATAGCCCCTTTTCCATTGCCTGGCACCAGCCCAACTCGACTTGAATCAACTCTACTTGCTTTTGGTATCGGGTGCTTCGTTTTCCATCGCAGATGGTCCCCTCTCAGTGTAGCTGGTTGTCAAGGCATGCTGTTCTTGATTCTCAGTATGTGGCTGTTTTTAGTTAGTACAGTAAGGACCAGGTACTACTATCCCCAACATTTGACTGACAGAACAACAAATAAGCAGAGTCAAATCGAGTTGAGCCAGTACCAGGCAGTGGAAAAGGGTCTTAAACTCACCAGCTCTTGCTTTGCTGTCGCTCACAGGCATCTGAGGACATTTGAATAAAGCTGAGTGCTCCTCAACTTCCCCCGGTAGTGTAGCTGGGTGCTATCAGAAACTGCCGAGCTCTGCAAGGTTTCAAAGCCAGGTCTCATTCACAAAGAATGGTGATTGAGGCTGGCCCAGCCTTTTGAATCCATGTGTCAAATATCATAGTGTCTGTCTGCAGTTTTCTGCTGAGCAGCTAGTGCAGAATGCCTTTTCAGAGCATTTTCTCTGCTATGACACGGAGTGATGCTATGAGAGGAGAGGCATTGAACTAAGACAGTCAAGTTAAGATCCAGAAACTAAACAATGAGCTGAAACTCACTAAAAACACTTAATTTTATGTGGGTTCATCATTATCAGAAACAACTTCCATATTAAACAGTTTTCATTGTGTCATTTTATGCATTATTATGCAAGTATTAATTACAATTTCAGGCAAATTTTTTTCTTTTTCACTAAAACAGCTGCATTCTGCTAAAAGCAGAGACACTGAGCCAAAACAGTAAATGTGGTAAAAAACAAGGAGCTAAATGAGATTAAAGGCTCATTGGAGATAAGGGGAAGTTGATAACTTGTGAACAACACCTTTCACATTAGTCAGTCACTTTACCCACTGTTATTATAAAGTAAAGATTAGTGCAGCTTTTAAAACTGATTGCAAACATATATATATATATGTGTGTGTGTGTGTGTGTGTGTGTGTGTGTGTGTGTATGTATGTATGTATATGTATATGTATGTATCCAGTAGTCACTGAAATCTGGGGGAGAGCGTGATTACAAATCCAATCCCTCGTTCCACTGGCAAAAAAACCTCTTTGTGCATAACATAAGATAAACAGGCAAATTAAGAGCCATTGTTTTTTTCATGCGTGCATAAGAATGCATGTGCATGAGAGCTCTTGTGAAGCATGCTGGTGTCAGCACACACGCACACATATAATTCTAGCTCTTGCTTGCCTCATCAGCAGCAGAGTGGGCCGGCTTGCTGCTGCATTTCTCTCTCTGCCCCCCCCACCCCCCACCCTTTCGTGGCTCTCCTTCTCCTAACTCAGACCTCCAGCTGTATAGAAAGCCTGCAAAGCAGGGTGGGGGCCAGCGCTAGCAGGCAGAATGTTTAATGCCATGCCACAGCATCCACAACAACCAGTAAAAAAGTGGGAGACCATCACCTTCCAACGGCAGCAATAAAACACAAAGGACTAAAACAGCTGGAGCTGGAGGAGGACACGACAAGAGAAAAGGAGAGATGACATGATGAGGTGAGTGATTCCAAATGGAAAGAAAAAGAAAAATGCTCGACCCACATGCACCTGGTAGGCAGGGCAGTGAGAGCTGGACTTTTGAATCCTGTTAATGCAGTGAACTACGGTGTAATATTGTGCTGGCTAATGAGGAAATGACTCCCTGCTCTATTACTATGCAGATTTCTCCTCTTACTAGTCCACGAGGACACAGGGAAAAGTGATATTACAACATTTAAGCAAACGCACAGAGAATTTTAGTGATGTCAGGCTCAATCACAGTAGAGCATCCACCGCAATTATCAAGTGAAAAATGCAGTGGCGTGAGGACATTTCTGGAACATATTTCAAGGCTCGCACAATGCATATGTGTTTAAGAACAAAACCACACATGGACCTCAGTCAGAATATCTGCAGTAGCAGAGCCACAGTTATAGCATCAACCGAATCTCACTACAGCACTGAGTGCAGTTCCCACTGGCACAGCTTCAAGTCCGCTGGCAGTCAGGATGACTAGCACCCTTATAAAATGCATCAGAAGCAGAAAGGTCCTGTCTCACTTTAGAAGACGACTGATTCTGACAGGAAAGCCTGATGGATGGTCTGGAATTAACTGATCTACTCACCATTTCTGCTGCAGTTGCATGCATCAAACTGTTCAATATTCAGCAATATACACAGTTAGTGGAGTTACATAGCAATGACAGCTCACGGCTCACATTACTCACACAGCTCAGCTGCGGCAGGACAGAATCTTCAGTTTTAGTCAGAAAAGAAGGCAAACTGTCTCCGAGGGAGGACAAGTATGTGTTCGGTGAGGATTCCAGTTCAGAGATGTGATCTGAGCAACTACATGCCCAAATAATACAAAGTTGACAGTCAACTCAGTCGAGGCTCTCCAAAAAATCTCAACTTTAATGTAAACAAATCTACTGCTATTCAGGTTATTTAAACATAATCCAGAACAAGTCATTAGGGTTCATCATCTGGGAAGATCTGAAACAAATTTGTCTCAGTTCACAGAGATATGATACAGACAGGCGTCAAAATGAAAAGAAAAATCGACAAAGTGTCTCAGTAAGGTGTTGGGCCACCATCTGCCACCAGAGCAGCTTCATGCACCTTGGCATTGATTCTACAAGTCATCTTGGAATAGACCACACTGATTCAGGCAGTTTCTTTAATTTGTCACTTGTCTGTATCTCACTGGATAACAGAAAACTGACCTGATGATGGCACTAAATGAAAGGTCATTAGGAATCATCAGATAGAGGAGAATAAATTCTGTACAAAGTGTTATGGCAAATCAACAGCTGTTGAGACGCTTTCTCCTGGAACAAAGTGTTGACCTGAATGAACAACAGATCTAGAGTCCCAAGCAAAGCATGACTTCAGCACGTGTCCATCTTTGATTTTTGTCTTGGATGAGAACACGAAGGAATGTACTAAAGAGATGATTAGTGATTTTCCTAAGACTCAAGTTAACATCTCTCCTGTGATGACTGGCAGTCAGGCCGCTGAATTAGTCCAGCAGCATAAAAACCTTAGCACAGTTATTGAAGACAGACTGACCTTTGAACTGCAGGAAGAAAGCCCATCAGCCAATGTGTTTTTGTTGCAAGCTTCATAGTTTTAGTGTTGATAAAGCTTTTAGGAAGATGTTTTACTCATGTTTTATTAAATCTCTTTTTAGATAGATGTGTAAAGATATGTGCTTGTATTTTGTATTGTAATGTGGTGGGTGGGTGAAAATACTGTGTGAGAACATTTAGGTTATATTGTTATTGTGCAGTTATTTTTGTGCCAATTAGTCTGGGTGTGTGGTGTCACACCTGACTTCAATGTGAAGGAGTCTCTCTCTCTCTCTCTCTCTCTATATATACAAGCACAGACGTTTTTGGGGAGGTGCATGCACTTTTCTCAATGTATTTATTAATCTGCTTTTACCTTTTCTTCCTTAAAGAATAAGAACAGACTGCAGGGAATGATTAAAGCGTGTGGTAAAGACTACAACAACAACCTCTCTGACCTGCACAAGGCTCTGACTCTTAGGAAGGCCAGGTCAAGTTTTGATGCTTCTATTTGGGTGCAGATTTGACCTGCTTAAGTGTAGAACTAACAGATTAATAAATTCTACAGTTTCACTGGCTTTTTGCCTTCTAAATGCTTCATTATAACCATAAGTATGTGCTGTGTTGTTTGTTTCTGCTTGTGTATGTTGATGTGTACTGCGGCCTGTACAACAAATTGCTCCCTGGGGATAATAAAGTTACCTGTGACCTTTGAATGACCAGTAATTTATACTGACATAGCCACAGTGCTAAGAAAAAAGCAATCTGATCATATGCTTTAAACTTTGTATTTCCCCAAGTTTGAACTGGCTAGACAACAAGAATGAGGATACTGGCTATTTGGCAATTCTGAACTCACTTGTTAATATAGACACATGGAATACATACCTACAAGTAATCCAGTTTCACAAAATATCAAAACAGGACCCTACACTAAGAACAGGGCAGACTTTGAATTAACCATTATTTACAACAAATCAAGCTCATTCCATATGAACCAGTGAGAACAAGTTTTCTATCATGTTCCTCCTTTTCATACAAATTGCCTCAAGAAGTATAACCTTCTATGTAACACCTCACTCTGATTCTGTAGAACCCTGACCATGCCTGCCTGCTCTGCCTCTCTGCTCTGCCTACACCTGCTGCTGCTGTGTGGGTTACTGGGAGGCTGGGTGCTGTCTATCTGCCCCTCTGTGTGCTACTGCAGCCGGGGACACCGTGTGGTCGACTGCTCCTCACAAGGCCTAACCAAGCTACCGCCTGGTCTGCAGCACAACATCCGCTTTCTCAACCTCTCATTTAACAGGTAAGCAGATGCAGGTGGTAATGTCATCAAGCTCCAACCTTCCTTGCCTTCCTACCAATAAAATCTTCAGAGACAGTGTATGAGGCAGTCTTTATTTTTGACCAGTGCTATGTAGTAACTGCTTTTAAACTAGATATGTATACTTGTTACAATACTGTGCTGTTCTGAGGGATGCAGCATGGAAGAAGTTAAAAATATGTAGCCTCATGACTTAATTAGACCTCACCAAATACTTTCAAACAATGGGAGGATAAAGAGGGAGGATAGTAACAGTCTAATGTATGTATGAATCAACCGTTTTCCCCACGCTACACCTCTTACAAATGAAAAGTTATAGTGACTAGTCACACGTTTCTTGGTATGCTAGTAAATCTGAGGTAGACAATGTGCAACTGATGCTGCTGAGTCACTATGCAGAGTTTATACCTCTTTTACAGTTAAACTACAATATTACACTCACTAATGGCCACAATGGCTACTGTTCAGCAGAACTTACATTTACAGTGACCTGCTTCTATAACAGAACTTTCTTTGCTCACTAAACAAGGACAGCAATGTCAGAAAAACAGTAACCCTGTTGACTACACATTGATATAAATGTTTTCTTTTGACAGTTTGCATGGTTTGGACAGCCAACTAAGCCACTATGTCCACCTGAGAACCCTGGACCTGTCCTACAACCGCTTGGTGAGCCTGCCCCCAGCATTGCCACGGTCGTTGTGGGACATTCGAGCAGCCGGGAACCATCTACGCTCGCTGGACAAAAATGACACGGCTTACCACTGGAATCTGAAAATACTGGACCTTTCAGACAATGAGCTGGAGAGAGTGGTCTTCATCAACAACACGCTGCCCAGTCTCCAAGCTCTCAACCTCAGTCACAACAGGTTTTGGACTGTGCCCACGAATATGCCGCACAACCTGGAGAGCATTGACTTGTCACATAACTACCTGGTGCAGATCCTGCCTGGATCACTGGATCGACTGCCCAGGCTGGCTCAGTTCTACTTGCATGCTAATCGCTTCTCCTGGTTGCCTGAGGGGGTCTTTGACAAGCTGATGGGGCTGGAGGTAATAACTCTTGGGGATAACCCCTGGGCTTGTGAAGAAGAGGAAAACATAACAAGGCTCCTGAGATGGGCTGAGCAGACCCGTTCAACCATCTTTGGATGCCCCTGTTATACAAGACCCATCTGTGGGCAAACCCATCTGGCAAAACCAGGGAGGGAGTGGCACTCTGCGCTGTTCACAGAGCCACCTCTCTGGGTTAACAGTAGAGAAGGGCATGACGGTCAATCACCTGTAAGGACTGCTGAGGCCACAACAAGTTACCAGGTCAAATCTGCGCTTTTTGAGACTGGAATATACCAGGACAAAAGAGGAGTTAATGACTCTGGGGACCATGGTGTACTTGTCTGGGCATCCTCCACAGGTTTTGACAGTTTCTCCACACACACAAGCACAACAGCCCACCCACAGTCTTTAACAAAGAAGCCCAAAGTAGCTAATTCAAAGAGCAAAGGCCACAGACAATTCACCGAGACTCTGCCAACTGTCATCTTAACTATTTTAGTAATGACAATATATGTATGCCCAGGTAGTTCCACTTAGCACCCCCATTTTCATTTTCCATGTAACAACTGTTGCGACTGTTACTGCTTTCTCTCGACTGTCCTAAAGTTTATTATCATTAAAGCTAGCTCAACACGTACAACAAAACACATCTCTTAACTCCCTGTACACAAAGATGCACTGTATAAACCTCAAGACAGAAAATGTCTTAAAATTCTGAATACATAATTCAACTGGTATTGTCAATGTTCAGCGCTCAGTATTGTGCACACCGACAGACTGCTTTGCTCGATGCTCTCTTCATAATACCGATGCTTATGCTGCTGCACTGTTCAAAATAGGATTTACAGTATACATTATATAACATACCTCAATCTGTCAACAACACTGTCACTGAGTGGTGAGTACAAGAACATTTCTTCACAACAAAAAAAGGTACCAGTAAAGGGCTAGTTAAACACAAGAAGTCAAATAACATTAGAAATTAACTGAATAGTTACAGGTGTTCCTGTCTGCAAGAAAGTAAGAGAAATGCCATGAACGACAACAGTACAACGCAATGACAATATTTATAGTAAGAGCATGCAGAAAAAAAAAACTACAGTCCAAGAAAAACCAGAGCACAAGATACAATCAAGAAACTTTCAACAAAAACATAACTGTTTTGTATTCTGTCAAAGATACTCCAGAAAAGATCTGATAAATCATATCTTTGTTGTCTGTGCTGCTTTTTTTGCAACACCATTAAACAGTCCATTCAACACTGGGCTGACAACATATTTAGCATTCTGGTACCCTAACTGACAGACCTCTCTTGAACGCATCAACTGCAGTAGTATTGGCATCAGACAGCAATAGAAAGTGTGGCCTGGTTTGCTCTGGAGTTGGATGGCTGACCTTGTTAGCATTCTGCAAAAAGAGATTGGCAGAGCAATGCACAGTCTTCCTTTCATACCATATTTCTGTAACATTTGTTACATTTAAGACTGACCCAGGTATGTTTTTAAAATGTCCTCACAGGGGGCTTCTTGTCCTTTAGGTAGTGACTTTAGGACAAACAATTAGGATTTTTCCCTCAAAACAAAGAAAAAGAATGGCAGACACGTATGAATCCTGAGGTCAAAGTATTCAGCATGTCCACATCTGTATCAAGTTTCATACGGCTATCAGCATGGTGAAGATGAAGCACAAGAGTGCAGGGCTATGGGTGATTGAGTGGACTGGATTAAAAACAACTGCGGTACTTGTGGTCTGTCACAGAAGTTCACCCATCTTTTTTGTAGTCTAAAAAAAACCTGTTAAGATTATATTTCAAATCATCCCACAAAATTCTAGATGTACTGTTCACTTTGCTGAGATTCAGTTAAACTAACCACAAACAAAAGTACATTGATAAAAACATAGTTTGACAGTTATTTATTGAGTGATTAAACTATAATAAATGAAGACAGATCCTTTTATTAGAGTTCTTTCTATGAAGCCTTACAGTGGCTTCAGAAAGTAATCAGACCTCTTCACTTTGTTGCACATGTTGTGTTGTAGATTTAATTTTAAGTGGATAAAATTATCATTTTTCCCCATCAACTTACATTCAGTAACCTATTATGAATATTTTTGTGTTTTATTAATGTTAGCATCTAAAGGATTAGTTTAATTACATTCCAAACACTGACCTCAGGAGGTGTGGGCACATTTAAAAGCCTACAACTTTGTGGTGCAGTCTGACCATTTCACCATGCCACCAACTTCATCTGATGCCTGAAAATACAGTGGCCCTAATTCCAGCTGCCAGCAGTGGAGATATGACAGGTCACTTTCAATAACAGGGGAAAAAAATACTGTCCGTTATTTTTAGAACAGTACGATGTTTTCAGGACATTTTATTTCTCTTACTATTTCTCCAGGACTGAAAAAGCAGTTTAAACATTTTCAGGTCAGCGAGGAAGCATTGAAACCATACTGATATAATGCAATGTGTGTGGTTTGTAAAAGTAAAAATGCCAGCCATCACCACCTGAGATTAGGCCAAACTGACCTTGTTTGTTGTTGGGAAGAGGACCACTTTACAATCACAGCGATTTGCATGTTTATGTATTTCCAACAACTCTAAAAGAGTGAGATATTTTCACTCTAAAGTAACTAATGTTTGTTAGTTGTGAGAAAGAAGATGGGCAATCAGTTCATACCTGCGAGCCACGTAGTAGAACACTGGGTTCCCGGTCTTGGAGGTTCCTGCCTGATAGAAGATGTTGAGGGTCTTTAAGGCTTTGAACTCCTCCTTCTCATGGACCTGGTGCCTGAAGAGCAAACCGGAGAGCTAAGGATCAGTAACAGAATTTCTGTTTCATTCCTTCCCAACTGCCAGTGGCAGTAAAAGTGAATGTGTCTCCTTGCGCCCCATGCGACAACGTATGCTACATGTCCGTCCCCGCTTTAACTACAACGAGGTAGCCTACCTCCAGCCTCTTTTGATCTTCTTGCGGTCTACCTGACATTTACCACAGGCAGCTTACTCTGCAAGATCCACATTCAGTTCAGAATTGTTGCAATTACAAATTCATTGGTATCTCATGTTTATTTTTTTGTTTGAATTTTGTTTCAGCTAGTTTTTGGCACATTGCTGGAGGTTTTGGTTGCAGTCTGTGGCTCTTCACACTCCTCACCCAGAATGGTGTCTCAGGCAGACAAGCTAGCCACAGTGGGGAACCTGGTTAGCTTCCCCACTTGCTGTTATTGTCTGGTGGTTTGTATTGTGAAGGTAAGTTTACTAGATGTGTTGGTCATGTCCTGTGGCATGCTCATAGTCCACGCTCAGATTTCCTAGTCTGCCTTGTCTGTTTCCAAATGAGAAGGACAATGTGGGATATATCTTGTAGGGTCCAACTTCAGAGAGATGGCCATGAGCTGTGCCCCAGATGTTTGGGTGTGGGTCACCTTCGGGAGGCCGTCAGATCCATGTATGAACTGCAGCATTTTGTCTTTGTTGGTGCTGCAAGAAAGGCTTTTTCAGGTAGAAGGCCTCGTGTTCAGAGATGACCTTCCACCCTCTAGGGTAGCTTCTGAAGGCGCTGCCCCAAACAAAAAAGATGAAAGGTCACAGTCCCTCTCACCAGGACATGGACATTTTGCTGAAATTGAGCAGCATAGAGCGCTGGTGCAGAGGTCAGCCCCAATTCCCATCCCTCAAGGTAGCTGGGATCTGGAGAAGGGAGGTGATAATGCACTCACTACACAGGCTTCAGTCTCCTTGACCTGTTGCCAGGAGGAAGTATTTGGCTCAGAAGCAGGCCTGCAGTACAGCTGGGCAGAGCCAGTTAGTTTAGAGGCTAATCATAACTCTGAGACTTACTGTAGGAGCTCTGTGAGCACTGAGCAGGGGGAAGAGCCCTGTTCACTGAAGGCAACACTTAGAGCAGCCCTGCTGTGCATCCAGTTGGCACTTTTTTTTTTTAAGGAGAGCCCCAGTGGCCCCACGCTTTTCGAATAGGTAAAATGGTGCTGGGCATATTCACAGGCATAGACTCACCATGGCAGGGCTGCTAGACTCCTAGCTGCCATGCACAACTCTGGGGAGCATGACCTGGATAGTATGCCTCCAGTGGACCAGTCTATTGCACCTCTGGTTCTTACACCAGATGAAGCACTGCGTATCACTGCTCACTGTCCTACCCTGGAGTGCTGGATCCCAAACAGTCTTCGCTCGAGGGCTTATGACACCGCAGCCTGAATGGCTCATACAGGCAATTCCCTCTATGTACACCCGCTGGCACAGTCCAGGATAGTGCCGACACTTCACAGGATCAGGCTGTCCTCCCACAGAGTCCTCCTGATTGCCCCCAAGTGGCTGTCAAGGATTTGGTTCCCCGTGCTCCTCAGAATGGTGAACAGGGACCCCTGGCAACTTCCAGCCAGGATGGGCCTTCTGTCCTGGGTGGATGGCAAGATTAAGCATCCATCCTCAAGCCGGCTGCAGCTCTGAGTTTGGCTGATAAAGGGTCTCAGCCATTACTAGCTGACCTTCAGCCTTCAGTTTGGGAAACCCTGCAGAGCACGAGGGCACCTACCACAAGATTGGCTTACAAAAATTGCTGGGCTGCTTTTTCCTCATGGTGTAGGGGTTTGACATTTGACCCAGTTACTTGTTCTCTACAGGAGATACTGCATTACTTGCAGATTCTCTTGGCAGCTGGTTGAGCGGCCTCGATGCTAAAATTTCACATGGCAGCAAAACCTTCACATCATGTTCACACTGATGGGAGGCCAGTTTGTGAGCATCACTGGGTAGGTCACTTTCTGTGTGGAGTTAGGCAACTACAGCACCCCAGGAGAAAACAGGCGCCTGTATGGGACCTGCTGCTAGTCCTTCACGCATTGGGCAGGTCAGCCTTTGAATGTATAATAGGAAGAGACCTTAGACTTGTCTCTGTTAAGCAAATACCACAGCCAAGCGTGTAAGCGAACTATAGACAATGTGTGTTAGAGCTACGTGCCTTAGATGGAAGGCAGATAACTCTGGGGTCACATTGTAGCCAAATATTTGCTTCTTGCCTAAGCTTCAACCCCCAGCCATACTAATCAGGCTACCAAACTGGACACATAATGTCTTTGAGGAAATCTGTCCACAGTATTTGATCAACCGTACACATTTAGAGTATAGAAATATACTGGACCCAGCAATCAATCTCGCTTCTCTAAATCCAGTGGCTTGCAAAAAAGCCTCTCATAGCTAGCCATGAACCACAAGACAAATTCACTAATTCTCACAAGAGATCATCTCTTTTGTTTTCAGTTGCAGATAATCATTTAACATAAAATATTGACAGAAACACTGATGAAGTGAATGGATGAAAGGGTAGTGAATATTGGAAAGACAGCAGCTACAAAAGCACACTGCCACAACTTCAGCATAAAATCTTGGTGATGGCTGTTTAAAGGAAACCAAAGAGGAAACAGATCTACGCCCAGGAAGTCACTTTTAGATTAAATCTTCAAACAGCCATCCTATGTGAGAACAAATAACAGCATATGTGAGAGAGCCTCAACATTTGGTAGCTGCAGAACTATTAGCTGATCCTTCACTGCAGGCAGTGATACTGTTAGAAACAAACGGCTATAGAGAATCAACCTAAATTATCTTATATTACTATCAAAAATTGTCAAAAAGCTGAATTCAGACAGCAAACATGAAGAAAGGATGTCTCTGCTGCAACTGGTATAGCTGGAGTTTAAAACATTTCCCACTGAGGGCTCATAAAGGCCACGCAACTACAGTTATCACAGCAGAGCAGTGACACGACTGCTGATCAGTACCAAAACAGTCACTGCATCTTTGATATTATCTGACAGCATAGTGTACTCTACCTCATGGCATTACCACTCTGCCCTGTGCAAACACATTTCACCCTTGAGGACAATAAAGTCACTCCATTGATGTAAAGGTAACTATTAGAGCTAGAGAATGAAAAGATGAGGCTCAGGGAAAACTACAAGTGATTTACTTGTACTGTGAGATCTGATGGAAACCTTGAGATGAGCTGACATTCTGTTACAGGCTGGCAGGAAACTCACCTAGTCATGAACTCCTCAAACTTGGAGCTGGTCAGGTTGAGACTGGACCAGTGGGTGTCAGCCACAGGTTTATGTTCAGGAGGTCCCAGATAGGCCAGTAGGGTTGCCATCTTGTCAAAAGGCCGCCTGCCTACAGCCTTGTGGTCCCTGGAAATTAGATTGCAACAAATACTTTCACACAGTAAGTTAAATAATTAAAGTTTAGTACTGAGATCATGCAGCAGAACACAGCAATGTTGTATGACAGATAAAATATTGTATCCTGACCTGTTACTGGACAGGTACTGGCCAATCCTCTCCTGATTGTTCCACAGCAGGCGGTGGAGGGCCAGCACATTG